ATTTTCAATTACAAACCTCCAGATATACAAACAACATAAATTCAGAACAAATATACAAACAACCATACATTAAGCACTGGGATTATTAAAGTATTCCTGATTCTGATTCCGATTATTCTTGATGCCTGTCACTGGGTCGTATTTAGTCAGATTCCCCTTGAAATCAATAAAACAAGGCCGCATATTTTTGTGTTTCCAATTTATGCTACTTTATAATCCAAGATCTTTTCTTTTACTTTTTACCCTACATTTATTGACAGCTGCAGTTAGAAATTAAGATTTTACATCAAAAAACACAAGCTTATAAAAAACAATACAAAAGCTCCCACAAAAAAAGCAGGGTCTAGTTGTCACTTGTCTCAGGTTCCAGATGTCTATGAATTGTTCCACCAAAGAGGTATTTCCCCTCGAAGCGTACTCACATTAATCTCACTAAACTAGGTTGAATAAACAAATGAAAGGTACCAGACTGACGGTTTTTGTCAAGGTTCCTGTGGGTTACTGATTAATGTTTCCTCAGTAGATCTGACTGCAAGTGAACGAGGAAGTTTACCTGTGGGAACCTTTGATCACAGGATAAGTCATCACTTACAAACTCTCTAAGTTTCCTCTGATTCATGTATTAAAAAGAAATTATAGCCTGAGAAAAAGGATATATATATATTTTTCTTTTGAGAAAATTGAACTGATTTGTAACTGTGCATGTATGAATAGAGATGTATATACAGATGTACACCTATGTTGATACCTTTCTTCCCACTAATGATAAACGTTAACAAAGCAACAATGGAAAAGGGAGATGCAGTTATGACACAAGGGCACAATACAGTATCAAGCCCTGAGCGCCGCACCAAAAGACCTGGACAATCAACCTCTGAATAATTCACCTGACCTCTCAGGCCACAAAGCCACTCCTCCTCTCATCTTACCTGATAAAACCCTGACATTTTGATTGACCTTTTAAACTTAATAACCTTATCCATGCACCATAAAGACTCAGACATTCTGGCAGACGCAGCGTCATATCCATCTAACAATGAACAACCTTCAAGCTGTGACACAAACTTGGATTTTGACCCACATTAAATTAATTTGTGCACGGCACGAAGGTTATTGAGTGAGATCAAATTTAAGGAATAACCTTACATGACCCCCCTTTCAGACATCTTAGTTCAGTTTAGATGGAGCAGTCACATGCAAGTTTCTAATTCACATCTCTCAGCATTTTCTAATTAACCTTACTTCATTTTCTTCCTGTAAAACAAAGACACACACAAAATCTGTCCCTACAATATTGCACTTGTTTCTTCACTCCAATTTATGATCAGCTTCTTTTCTCATTTTGCAACGGGATGCTTTTGTAAAATCTCTTTTGTAAGTTTTAATAGCATTTATCTTTCTCATATTTGCTGTTTTTCTGTTCCTGACAGGAGTCTGACATAAAGTACCAGTGTGTTGGATTCAGTGGCATTTAGAGGTGAGGTTACAAATTTCAACCAACTAAATACTGCTCACTTTCCAAGTGCGTATGAGAAAATGTTGGTCCTTCTGGTCTACTGTAGAAACATGGCAGTTCAACATGGCAGATTAATTCTAAGGTAACGAAAACATCAACAACGATTCTTATTTTCAGGTGACAAAATTATTTCTGCCACTAAATCCCCCGAAAAACCTTTAAGGGAAGGCCTGACTTTTGAATTTTGGTAGGACAATGAATTGTAATAACTTTGGTGATCCCTTAATAATTTCTCTATTTATTTACTTTTTAAAGAATAAACATCTTGTTATGAGCTGTGACATGACTATTCTTGCATATTTAGCTCATCCAAAAATGGGCCAGTAGTATCTGCACATTGTCACTTAACTTCTGCATTTTCCTTCACATTTTCCTTCACATTGCACAAATTACAGCATTAAGATAAGACATTAAAATGCTGGATGTCCCAAAAATTTCCCCAGCTAAATAAAAAATAAATCTTAAATAATTTATTTTGTTCAAAGTCCATTCCTATTTTACAAAAATATATTGGCTCCCTGTCTACAAACGTCAAACCTGCAGCCAGAATCCAGGGTTTAATATTCCACAATCATCATTTCTAATAATAGAGGGGCATCTCAATTTCAAGTCTTGTCTCTATCGAGGCAATCTTGAGAAGGTCACTCATCTCATTTTAGATTTTTTTGTTATTATTGTAACTCATTGTGTTGCAGTCCATATTCAGGGATTAAAGCCAAATATTTTACCTACATATCTAGTGCAAAACACAACCTTTAAAGAACTTAATGGTTTAGCTCCCAGTTATGTTGGGTTGGTTATGTTTGCTGAATTGCTGCTCCCCTATGAGCCAGATCCTCAGATCCTCAGGCAGGGCTCTGTTGGCTGCTCCTAAGTCCTGGTTTCAGGACTAAAGGAGACCTGGTTTTACACTTAGGACCTCTTAGCTCATACACACCCTACCTCAAAACTCAAAACTTTTACTAATGCTAGCAAACCGTTTTATAGTCAACATGTCTTGTTTGATCACTGTTACTCTTGTTATGTTGTTTTAATTGTCTGATTTTGTTTGCCTCATTGCATTCCTGAGATGTTTTAACCCTCGTTCAACCATGTAAAGCACTTTGCTTTGAAAGGTTTTGTATAAATAAAGTTTACTATTATTATTATTATTAGTAGTAGTAGTAGTAGTAGTAGTAATGCATGTGTCATTAGCACACAAAAATAGTGATCATTCTATAAGGGCAAATAAAACAAAAAGCATTTGAATGTTTTACATCTTAGACATTTCAGGGGGCCCTAAATATTGAATGCTATCGTATTAGTGTAAGTAAAAATATATAGGACATAATATTTTGTGAAATTATAAGAAGTAAGTAAGTAAAACTTTATTTATATAGCACTTTTTTGACAGAGATCCAAAGTGCTTTCCAAACAACAAATAAATAAACATAACAACACACAAAAACACAAACATAGAGAGCATGTAAAAACAAACAAAGAACACAAGGGAGGATAAATTAAAAGAGACAATGGCAGATGAAAGATAAACAAAGGAGATCTATAAAAAGGCTTGCCTGTAGAGGTGGGGTTTTGAGCAAGCCGCTTAAAACTGTCCACAGGGTTCCAGTGAATTCTAAGTGAATGGGTGAAGACGTATTCCACAATGTTGGGCTAAAACCGCAAACGCACGGTCACTTTAGCTTTACAGGTAGAGCGTGGAACGGATAAAAGGCGAGATTTAAGGAGCGAAGTCTCGGACAGTGGCCGAGGAGTGGAGTGGGGAACAAGGAGGTCTGAAATGTAACTGGGGGCAAGGTCATGAAGTGCCTTAAGATCTTATAATTGATTCTAAATTTTACAGAAATTATAATAAATCAATTGTTCAACAAAAAAAACATTCCCTTTATTATAACTGATAATAATAACAACTGTGTAACAGCCACCCTTATACCTGAAATCATGATATGAGACAGTTATTACTGGGAGAATCACGCACCACTGCAACACTACAACTCAGTCTCATACTTGCCTGAAGTGAAACTGATGTGCACCACTGATACAGGATATGAATGAGTACCTCACAGTCTTCCGCTGCATAATGATGTAGAAATGACTCACAGCCTAATTCATGAGTGCCAAGCCGCAAAGTTTATGGTCTACACTACAGTATCTGTACAATGATTGTCTTCATAAACATCATCCTTATCATCACTACTCCCACAAACAACTGCGGCTGTCGTCATCTTCATCTATAGCACACTAAAGACAGTACTGTAACTTTCATTCCTAAGGGAAGGCTTCATGCTGCAGTGGTCGGGCACCATCACAAAAACTATAAAACACACTGTGCTGCTTCAGTAAAGTCTGAGAGTTTAGGTAGAACATGTTGACTGTAAGAAGTTCTGGATAAGCAGCTCTGTTAAACTCGCCGTAGAACCCACGATGACATTTTGTCTGAGAGAAAAAAACAGAAAGTGAAGCAGAGTTTATCGCCAACTCTCTTCTCCTCCTTTGCCGCAGTCGTTCATTCTTTCCGTTACTTTTTTTGCTCTTGGACTCCCTGGAGGGCAGCAGAGACAAGGAGAGCGAGAGGGAAAGCAGACAGCCCATTCACTACAGCTTCCTTTTCGCCTGACTGGCTTTCTATCTTCCTCCTCCATCTCTTCCCTTTCTTCCCCCAAATCCAGCTCAGTATGAAAACCCCCTCCCCGCTTCACCGTGAACCCTCCAATGTCGGTAAAAAGCGAGTAGCGGCGCGTCTTCTTACCGTGCGTCCTGGCTCGGTGCGGTGCGTCCTGGCTCGGTGCGATCCCGGGAATAAACAAGAAAAACTCTCAACTACGAGAAGAAACGAGGGCTAATGTTTTCCTCCTTGCTTCCCACTACTACCCTCTCTCCTCCCCTTACTCCCCCCCCCCTCCCTCTCTCATGCTCTCCCCTCTTTTGACTCCACTCCTCCCTCCTTCTCTCTCCACTCCCCTCCGTGGGCGCAGCGTTTACTCATAATTCAACTATTGGTATGAAAACATGGAAACCTTCATTTACTAAAAACCATTTAGCACGAGTACAAGCGAGGTAAAGGGCTAGTCACGTGACGTACAGCGGTAATTAAGATTTGTGGGTCAACTATGACCCCTAGTTGGAGAACTTATAAGTGAAACAACCGCTCCAACTTCCTGTATTAGTGTTTCATGTGTCTTAATGAATGTCACTAGAAGACGCTTCAGTTGGGTTTGTACTTTACTGGATGGCTGTTCTGTGGTTTATAGAATAACAGAATATCAGACATACCAATACAATTAACCATAATCTCTATATACTACAAATTACAATCCTATACAGTCCTATACATTCTGTCCACGGGCTATCAATGCAACATAAGATACAGATATAGTACTCTCTTCAAGGATAAAGTGGACAGCCTTGACAGTTAAATAAAAGAGCTCTGTTTGTAGTATTAACTAAGGATTAACACAACGACTCATCATTATTTCAAATTGTCACAAAAGAATAATTATAAACTAGTATCACATGTTAATTCCTCATTACAGTGAGAACTTGTATGTTTAAAGTTACAGATGAATTAACCTCCTACTGGCACTGTCTGCTAAGCCACATGGTGAGTCAAATTACACACATTAATTCACTAATATTTACTCAACCAATGTTTATGAGGAAGGCACAAATAAAGCATAACATATAGTAAGTATTAAAGTTCTCAATCCAGAAAAATGTCCCCTGTGACTGATATACTATTATATATTATATCATTATATTATTATGACTCATGTATTAATGTTAATAATAATTACTTTACATTAAAGCAGGATTTTACTTTTCTAGTTGGTTGAGGTGGAGTTTACCTATTTTGTATAAGACTACAACTAATGGTTATTTTCATTATGGATTAATCAGTCGATTATTTGCTCCATTAATTGATTGTTGGGTTTGTGAAAATTCTGGAAATAGTGAGAAATACCGTCGACCCAGAGCCCAAAGTGACACATTCGTAATGTTTATTGTTTTGTTTACAACCAAAAGTCCAAAGGTCAAAATCCTTAAAAATAAAATACAATTATTTAAATAATTAAAAGGAAAAGCAACAACTCTCACATTTCTCTTTCAATTGCCTTTTTGATGATTCAACTTATCATTTCAGATCCAGCCTACTACTGTAGTGCATCATGTTTAATAAGCTAATCATATTTGTAGGCACAAATCCTAATTTGTAAGTAACCAAAGCTGTCACAGAAACAAGTACAAAGAACAATATTTCCCTCCAAAATGTAGTGGAGTAGAAATGTGTCTTAACTTATACTTTTAGCTAAAGGAAAGCATTTGAAGTATTGTATACCCAACATTATTATTTCTGTATTTCTGAGTTGTAAAATAGATAAAACAGTCAGTGTTTGTTTCCCAAAGACTGATAGTGTCAGGTTTATTGCTCATTAACTGTTTAGCTGTTTCCTTAAGGCAGACACAACTCCACCATTTTTATTTACAGGCGCTGTGGGTTACTCTCCATGTAGTCCATCATGTTGAACCGCCTTGTTTCTACAGGAGACCAGAACAGAAAAACCTAACACTGGCTGTGGGGGCATTCGCGTTTTTTGGGCATTTTGTGGCCACCACAGTTTCTCCTTCCGAGGGGCGGGTTAAGCAAGGGACCTGCGATCTGCAACTACACCTCTAGATGCCACAAAATCCTACACACCTTTAATGAATGTTCAAGAATTATTAAATACATGCTGATATGAAATCATAAACACAAAGATTAATGTTAGAGATCAAGATTAATGTGCCCACTGCTAACAACCTTTAAAGTTCAACATGCATAATTCAAAGACAAGGTCAGGACATTTTAATACATATTATTCAAAATAAGACTTCTGACGTGTTTTATGTGTGAAGTTGTTTAATTAACTGTCAGCTATACTTACTAATCTATATGTGTCAATTTGAAAAATGATTAGCTGGACAATCATTTATCAAGAAAAATATACAAACATTTGCTTAAATTTTACAGCTTAAATTTTAGGATTTTATTTTGTTATTGGATTTGTTCAATTTTCCTCCCTGAATCCACAGAGAAATATTCAGTTTGACAGATTTGATATCAGCAGTTTTTAGTATATAGCTGCTTCCAACACTGAAATATGGGAAGAGTTTCTCAGTGAAAGTGTGTCTTGAGTGCAGATGTGAGTCATGTGTTCAGGGTCGTAGAAGAATACGTCTCCTCTGTCATAGTCCAGCTGGACTCTGATCTTCTGGAGACAGTCTTACCAAGACCAATCAGGTATTTTCCACTGTGATGCAATAAACACTACATATATTTTGGTGTGACATATATCGCCCCCTTCCTGTCAACAGACTCTTTAGCCAAACCTATATTCCAGTCAGGATGATCTCCCACCTCCACCTCCCAGCTGTGTTTCCCTGAGCTGAAACCCAGAACAGTGGAATACTTAGTGTTTCTCTCAGTCAGGAAACTTTAGACAAGATCAATTTTCTTAGCCATTTTCTCTGATATGTGAATTATCCTTTAACAGCAAGACTCAACAAATGTTTGATTTACAGATTATAATCCTTCTGATTTTTGTTTCTAGTTGGAATCTCAGCTCAATTGAGAAATGTATGTATCAGCTTTAGGTTTCTCTTTCATTTTTTTCAAATAAATACATGACAGCTGACATGACACCATCTTACCAGCAGATGGGGCCATCAGCTGGTAAGATGGTGGCTTAGAATTGTTCAAATAGAAATAATTAATTACTTTTAGGTGAAAAAACAACGCATACATAATACAATGCATTGGCATCCCAAACAACCTAAAATTAAATATTTTAGAACATAATCACCAAGTCAATTCATGTGTTAAGCAACCCCACTGTTAAAGAAATTTCGTTTTTTTCATTTCATGACAATTTCTTTAAATGACAATGTACTCGCAAAGACAGTGAAAGTCTTTATTTATACATCATTACAAAATGATAACCCACAAAAAGAAGTTCTGTTGGTGAATAAAAAAGAAAACATGTCAAGCACATAAAAGAACAATTTTTTTTTTAACTGCACTGTACACAACAAAGTTCTTGAAAAACAAATATTTAGCACACGATCATAAATAACTCTTAAATAAAAATAAAGAACCCGTTTCTCCAGCTTACACCATCAGGCCAGTTTCACCAGTCTCTCACTGGCCTCCCACAGTTTTTTTGCCACACCAGCGTCTCTTGCGAAAGGACGCAGAGTAGCTGGTCGGCAGTCGACGAAGTAACCCCCGCTGTGTCTGGCAGCTTCATCTGACACAGCACAGTAGATGACAGTCTGAGCTCCAATCTCACACGACACGAAAAACATCCACATGACCACCTGCATCAGCATTCGGAACAGGATGGAGTAGTGGCACGTCCAACCACTTTGGACAAAACCTGCAGCAGCATAAGGAGGCAGGGGTAAATATAGATTAGGATAAATATAAATAGGGTCAGGAATATACACACTGTATGTTAGGGGTGGACAAAAAAATGTAAGAATTTTCTGGAAAGTCTTTTTTTTTTTAGATAAAATAACCAGATATGAATGTGTCTTTTTGGTTAATCCAGTGAATTAAATATTGAAAGGCACTGTAATAAATCCAATATTGTCATAAAGGAACCCTGCCCATTGAATTTCAACATTGACCGCCATGGTCTAATACAACCACACATACTGTTCTAGTACAGCGTAAACAGTACAGAAAAATTTAAAAATTTAAAAATATATAGTTTCACACTATATATAGCCGAGCTATGATTATTCAATTTCAAATAAAAATACACTGATTGTAGATCAATACATTTACAATAATATAAGATAAAAACATCCATATCCAATAAATCTAAGTCTAGAAGTCTAAAAACAAGAACTAGGGTTGTAACTAATTATTATGATTATGATGACTGAAGACCTCTCCTATTCCTCTGATACACTTTAATCCTTCAGGACTAACTGCAGAAAGTGGACATAATCCAAAGCTTGATTATGATAGAAAATGTGTACAATAAAGACAAACACCCAAACTTTCTTATTTCCTTTTAATAATATTTGACATTTGGGGAAGAAACTCTTACCAGGGTGCACAGCATAAGAGGTCACTCCTTTCCCTTCAGTGATGCGGGCCAGTTCCTGACTGAAGTAGATGTTGGCCAGCTTGCTGCGGCAGTAGGTGAAGAAGGGCAGCAGGTTGTAGTTGAGGTCCTGGAAGTCCAGTTTCTGGTATTTGTAGATCGAGCATGTGATGGTGACCACCCGGCTGGGGGCACACTCCTTCAGGCGTGGCAGAAGCAGATTGGTAAGGAGGAAGTGACCCAAGTGGTTGACACCAAAACACATGCTGAAGCCATCGTCTGTCCAGTCGAGGATGCTGGGCATGCCTGCAGGAGCACCACGGGGTGAAGAAAAAGGTCAAAACAATGAGGTGGCAAAAGGACAAACATCTGGGTTTTATCTGATGTTGATGCTTTTACTGCAGACGTTTCTAAAAGGGAACACATCTTAATCCATTTCTTTTGATTTCCTGCCATGGCAACCTTGGTGTTATCATTAAAAACTCTAACATCTGGCCAAGTAAACGTCTGGGTTATTTATTGGAAGGGAAACATTTCCTCTTCTGTCTTTCTTTCTTTGGTGATCCTCCATGTGGTTGACACCCTCACCTGCATTATTGATCAGGATGTCCAGCCTCTTCTCTCTCTGGAGGAAGCTCTTACAGAACTCCCTCACAGAGCGCAGGTTGGCCAGATCCAGCGCCATGGGCAGGACGCTGAGGCTGTGACTCTTGAACTTGATCTCCCTCACAGCCTTCTCAGCTTTGTCCATGTCTCTGCAAGCAATGATGACACGGGCCCCTCTCATTGCCATGGCAACAGCTGTGTCTTTGCCAATGCCAGAGTTCCCACCTGCAAACACAACAACAACAACAACAACAACAACTTGTGTGAATGTTCATGTGTTAGTGCTCTTGTGAGACTCGGAGAGGACAGCAGTCGTACTGTCTGCAATAATCCAAATGTACTGTAATACTACTGTAAAGCAAAAGTCAGCATCAACGCACACTGATCTTTAAACATTTACCTGTAATAAGAACTGTTTTGCCATCAAGTCTTTTGAGGTCGGTGCAATACCTCCTTTTTTTCATCCATTTCAAGATGAAAAAACAAACTAAAGACGCGATGATTGTATAGAGAGTATACATGTTTCTACTGCTGCTACCTTTAACACAAGCAGCTGCTGCTCTCTATGTGAGCCTGGAGCTAACGCCAGCTAGCTCGTTAGCTTGCTATTCAACTAAAAAACTAAGTCTAAAACGTCATTTTCTGCCCTACTATTCCTCCATTCTGGTTCTTGTCGTGGTTAACGGGGCGGAGATGATCCAGGGCGAATCAAACACAACAGAAGAGGGTTATTTTATTCATTTGACAATCCTCTCCAGTTCATTGTGACTCACTTCACAGGGAGCGATGTCACGTGATGTGCGCATGCGCCAAATGCTCAAATACCGCAACATCTCGCGAGAACACGTTACTTGAACGTCAATAGCCTTTAACGGTTCAAATCAGTTCAACTTCGGGCTCAAGTGACCTAAAAACGAAATTATAAACATGACAGTGTGGGTATTGTGAAACAAATATGTTGTGAGTTACGTTTTTTTTTTTTAAATCTGTTAATGAATAACTTCTGCCCAGTTAGCTATTATAAGCTGTTTGTTTCCAGTGTGAATTACCTCTGACACGCTGCGCAGCTCAGTGCCAGAGTTTGTAGTTTGTAGTTGTGTTGTTTTGTTCTGTAAGATAAACATGAGAGCACACTTGAGAGAAACCATTTTCCTCTGTGGAATATTTCTTATTTGCTCATGTCAAACAGCTGGTAAGTAACTTTCAGAAGTATTTTAGGGACTTATATGATTTTATATTTAAATTTTTGCATGAAGTAAACATTCTGAATCCCTACAACTTGTTTGGAATATGTTTTGTTGCATACAGCAAACCAAATGAAGCAATTTGTTATGTAGGTTGAACTTTAATAGAAGTCTGTGCAAATATTTGAGAAATATTTTTCTGTTTTTGTCAAGGTCAAACATGCAGGGGGAAGTGTGGAGACATATTGGAGGAATGCTCCTGCCATACAACCTGTGTGTCTTTGCTGAACTGCTGTTCAGACTACAACCAGTCCTGTTTCCAGGTGATGCCTCACTCCAGCTCCATGCTGGGTGGGAGAGCTCTCAGGATCCTCAGTTTGGTTCTTCATGCTGGTGGGCGCTTCCTCTGCAGGTTTGTGTCTATGAGCATGTGGCCTTTGAAGCACATCATGATGTGAATCTTGCATACGCTCATTGTGGGATTATTTCCATTACACGTCAAAAACATAAACAGTATGTGCAGTTCACATGTTGTGCTTTTCCAGTGGATCTTCCTTTGTGATAGCGTACATTTGCTATACATGTACTTAAGTACTGATAATATTTGGGTCCAAATTCTAATCTTTTTTGTTTTTTATCTTCAGAAAAGGCAAAAATAATCTTCAATTTCAAAAAAGTTTTGCGTACTGAAAAGATGACAGAAGCTTTGTAAAATCTGGAATATTTTTTTTAATCAAATCATCAAAATCACACTAAAAGCAAAAAGAAGTTTAATCTTTTGCAGAACAATTGCAAACTTTGTAACACTAAACAAACACTCTTAGATATGAAGCACAAAACATGTCAATAGACTCTCTTTCAGTGAGGAGGTGTTCAAATGGTGCCTGACATGATATAATGCTGCTAATGAATGCTCTGTGTCTTAATACTTTTCCTTTAAAGCAAATGTAAACATGCTGTCTATATAAAGAAAAGGTTGTTGCTGCCTTTGAAATTACATGATGCATTCTATTTCAATATGTACTTTAAATCTTAATTTCCATTGTCTCAGGATATGTTTCAGTGATCAACTCTCCTTTTAAAACTGCGATTTCCAACCTGTGTTAGACTATTATTTCCAGAGTGCTCTTAAAAACAGTGTTGCATTAAAGCACCTAAAATTGTTATTCTACTGACCATATGTGTGTGAGTGCAGTTACAGACGAGGAATCGTATTAAGAACAAAGTCATAGTGTTGTGTAGCTAGCCAAAAAGCAAAAATCATGTTCGTCTGTTTCTGTTGCAGGTTCAAAGGAGAGATTGAACGAGAAGGATTTATTGATGCTGAGGGCCAAGCCTACTGCGTCTCTCCTTTATTGTATGAGACGGGTTGGATACCATTTGCTGTCTCAACAGACGGGATACATTTTGACAGATCTGGAGAGTACTTGTCAGGTATGTTACTGAAATATAAAAATACCTGTGTACTGCACTGATTTGTGACCGGTGTGTAGGATTTAGTGGTATCTAGCGGTTAAGTTTTAGATTGCACCTAACTAGCACCACTGGCATCTGTATTTGACGACCTG